GTAAATCTGGAGTTTTTAATACTGTGGATATGTTCTCAAGCCAAGGCAGGAGGGAGGGGAAGGAGGAAGGGAGAGAGAGAGAAATGAAAGGTAGCCTTTAGTCCTTCGTGGCGATTTGCTTGCTGGAAGAGATCACCAGGCCTCTGCTAAATGCCCTTTCAAACCAGGCATCTAAGATTCACAGTGTGATATGCAGCCTGTGGATTTACACAGCGTCAGTAAAACCCTTCCACGGCTTGGCTTCACTATTTGCAAATCACTTCTGATTCAATTTTGTTTTGGTTATCTCAGTGTAAATAACAGTTAAGTGGGAGTTACAGATTTTTCAAACACTAAAAGTGATAAACAAAGCTAATGGCAAGTCCAGATAAGGAGGAAAACCACCCAGAAGAACCCACAAGTACAAGCAAAGAAATAAATGGGATAGTCAGATGTGTGTTTCTTGTCACTGAAACTTTATTTTTCTTAATCTGCAGAGTGGCAGAAAAGGTGTATGCAGGGTGTTACTCAGCCCGTGCCTGTTCGTCTTTGTGGTAGTGTAGTAATAGGTGCCTAATGAAACAAGACAGTTTAGAATCCACAAAACCATCCTCGGGAACAAAGATACAAGTGTTCCCCCAACTGTTAGCTTGCAGCTCCCTCTAAACAGTTTTCACGCCTCCATTTAAAAATAGTCGGCATAATGCTGGTTTTTTCACCCCACGCTGTGGCCACATTTCCAAGGGGGGAAACGTGTGTGTACGTAGTCACAGCAGCATTTCCAGGAGACCTCAGGTACCTGTGGGTTTTCAGAGGGTTGGGGGAATCCTGTTTAATTGCCTGAACCAATTCTTTGAAGTCTTTCTTCTTCTGGTAGTTGCAAGTTAGGGGCGTGGGAGGAAGTGAATCACCACCCAGAGAGGAGAGGAGTGTGTTCGGGACACAACAAAGGACCTGAAGAGTGAGCGCGGGGTGTTTGGGATTTTACTCAGTCGGGCTGTGCTGCGCGTGTGTCGCCGCCACGCACCGCCGCGGGTGGGAACGCGTGGCCCAGCGGCCGCCTCGCTCCCTGCCCCGAGCACCGTGCGCCACCCAGCTCCCCTTGTAACGCCATTGCGCGTGGCATTGTGCTGGGTGCTACGTGTGTGGCATCCG